AAAAATACCTGCACCATTTTTCCACGTAGACCTGGTGATTCTATGCGAGGAGCTGTCTGCGGTTACAGAAAGGGTAGATGTCATGTATCAGCTAGGGCTCCAACAACGGACTCTTAAGATGTCCTAATCTGCTTCCAGTCATTCCGAGACAAAATTGAGGTTATGGAAATGCTCAAAGTTGGGGCACCCTTTCAATTTGAGGCTATGAAACTTATCTTCCTTCAGGATTTCTGTAGAGCCATACTAGACTGGAGATATTCTGTTTGACAGGTCACTCTGACCCTCCGTGAGGCCAACACTGGATATAAGTGGGGACCAGCTCACACCCTACTGGCCAGCAAAGATGGAACCATGTAACACCTTGCTACACAGGTGGACACTGCCTCTTGGGCCTTACTCAAAGGCCTGATAACCCCCAACTGCTGGTTGCTCCTGGGATGTCCCAAGCATTGTACCTTAGTACCATGTTTCCCAACTGGCACTGGCTGAGAGATCTGCAGCCTTGTTTGACAATGCTATGCTATGAAGAATGACAGAGGGCAGTCTGGGACTGGGTGATAGTCAATATTTTTGCTGTTATCGCACTGTTCCTTTTTCTTTTCCTTCTCATGCTGATGCTTTCTGCCAATTCTCTATTCATGTGTTACACTTCAGGGTCTCGGCCTGTATACTCTCATGTAACCATGTACACCCTTCCTCCCGGTGCTCAGGGGAATGCTATATTTACCCTTATGACATAGGACTTCAATACCCAATCTACTGTTTTTATGCTGTTGCTTTTTTTTTCTAAGTTTCAGTTTACATTTCAGTTGGCATTTCTCATTAGCTATCCCTGCTACGAACCAGTGACACAGGGCCGTTCAGCACCAGTTCAGGCCTGTGGGTGGCATACTGAACATTCTCCTCATGGGTTAAAATTTTGGGAGAATTCGTGTACTGGGTCCTCTATTAGACCAAAGTATAGGCTAAACACGAAGGGTAGTTAAAGAACAAAGTAAAGAAGTGAAATAATTCACACAAAAGCAATTGGTGTGCTTTGTGGTGTCAACTGGTGTGCTGGTGACGTTATCCTTACTATGACAAACCCGATCACCTTGATGCAACAGCTTTACTCACTACAGCCAGAATCTATAGATATAGTGGGATACAAAGTTAATATGAACAAATCAAGTTCATTTCTACAGAATCTTTCAGCTGCAGACATGGCACTGGTTGGGACTACATACCACATACATATAACACAGGAGTCATTCACAAACTTAGGTATTAAACTTATCGTAGACCTCTAAAGCTATTCCAAATGAACTATATCCGAATGTTTGGTATCCTCATAATGGACATGGATATATTGATAAACCAATCTCATGGTGAAGTAGAGTTCATATGGTAAAAATTAAGATTCTCCTGAGGATTCTCTCCTTGTTTTAGTCCCACCCTGTTAGGGTCACCAAAAAAGAAGTAGCATTGCTGTAATGAACAATAGACCACATCTACTGTAGCAGTACAAACATCATCGAATAGCCAGGAATGTACTTTACTGACCAAAGTCTGCAGGAGGTTTAGGACTACCACATATCCATCTCTATTATTTAGCAGCCCAGGTGACCCAAGCAGGGCCGCCATCAGGGGGTGACAACCATGACGGTTGTCACGGGCCCGGCCGCCTGGGACCCACGTGGAGTGGCGAAACTGCCGCAGGTGCATCAGCAACGGGACCAATCAGGTGACCCAAGCATTTAGGGCCACCCGATGGGCCCTATATCTTCAGGGGCCGGTCAGTGCTGTAATAGCGCGACCGGGCCTCTTTAAAAAAAAATGCGGCTGCACCGCAAATGCTGCTGGGAGGAAGTGACATCCAGTCACTTCCTCCCAGTTTACTCCACGCGGAGGGAGAGACAGCAGAGGAGAGGAGAGGCATCCGCTCCTATCATCACAAGCCACACTCCTGCAACTTAAAGGTAAGGAATAGGAGGGTGGCTGAAAAATGAGTTTTATGTGTGTATGTATATCAGAATGTATGTATGTGTCTGCATGTATGTATGTCTGTTTGTGTATGTCTGTTTGTCAGTAAGTATGTGTGTATATATGTATGTATGTATGTGTGTATGTATATATATATATATATATCAGTATGTATGTGTGTGAATGTCAACATGTGTGTATGTATGTATGTATATATCTATCAGTATGTATGTGTGTATCTATGTATGTATGTATGTGTATGTATGTCTGTCAATATGTATGTGTGTATATATCTATGTATGTATGTATATATGTATGTCTGTGTGTGTGTGTATGCCTGTATGTATGTATATATCTATCAGTATGTATGTGTGTATGTATGTCAGTATGTGTGTATGTATGTATGTATGTATATATGTATGTCTGTGTGTGTGTGTGTGTGTGTGTATGCCTGTATGTATGTATGTGTGTATGTATATATCTATCTGTATGTGTGTGTATGTCAGTATGTATGTATGTATGTATGTCTGTATGTATGTATATCAGTATGTATGTGTATGTATGCCATTATGTATCTCTGTTTGTCAGTATGTATGTGTGTGTGTGTGTGTGTGTGTGTCTGTCAGTATGCAAGTATTTATGTACGTCAGTGCGTGTGTGTCTGTATGTGTGTGTGTGTATCTGTATCTCCTTATGCATGTGTGTGTCTGTATGTTTCTGTATATGTGTGTGTGTCTGTTTCAGTATGTGTGTGTCAGTAGGCCTGTATGTGTGTATGTCTGTTTCAGTATTTGTGTATCTTTCTCTGTGTGTGTGTGTCTGTGCCCTTTTATGTCTTGGTGTGTGTATTCCTGTGGGCAGGATTTGGAGGCGGACACCCGGGGGCCCAGACCTTAAGCTGTGTTAGGGGCCCCAACATTTCTGATGGCGGCCCTGGACCCAAGTGATTACATGGCACACCCCTCCGGAGGCTAGAAGATGGGTAGATGTGGAATCATTGATGATAGGGAAGGTCAGTTTTGCCACAATTTTACATGTGGGTCCCAAAAGAACATACATGGTTATTCCGGGCAAAATTCCCATCAATAATGAACTCCTTCCTGGTGTGGGATTTGACTGTTACAAAAAATTAATCGGACTCCTGACCCTCTCACTAATGCTAATACTGAGAAAGAGAGCATTCTTTCCAGGCATTAGGGCTAGAGATTTTAGAAAAATTTAAACTGCAGGAATACAAAGATTATTTCTGCTATAAAGAAAGCTCAATAATCCCAACTGTGGACCCCACAATTACTTTAGATACCTACATTTCAGTGACTTTGCTAGGAAGACCAGCATATGTAGTGCTGCTCATAAAAATATTACCTTTTTTGAAAATCTATGTAGAGAAGGAATGAGTCAGGGTGGCCTAATAACATTCTTGTTACACCTAAACTCTAGCTCAATGGAATGGGGAGGATTACACTACATAGATCAGTGAGGAGAGGATTACACTGCATAGACCTATGGGCAGCAAACAATAAAATTAAATTTGTGTCACCCTACAGAGCAAGCCTACCAAACCATGTTCAAATGGTATACTACCCTGTAAAATGATTCTGTATGAAAAAAAAACACCAGGGAGCTGCATCAGGGAGCTGCTATGGCAGGTATTTTTTAGGCGGCTAGAACTAGATCTGTGAGTGTATTTGCTGACAAAAACAAGGAGGACCTTAGCACAACATTGATTAAATACAGATATTCCTTCCAAGGAGTGTGTTCAGCATAAGATAAAAGACAACTACTTTATGGATAAGCTTGCTGTTCAGGTCAGGAACACAATTTTTGGGTGGAGTATGAAGGACAACAGTGTCTTACTTGTTCAGGTTTGCCGGGGTTCCTGGTTCTCATTACAGCAATCTCTCTTCTATCCCCTTTATCGATTACTCTCTCTCTCGTCTATTCTTTTAGTCTTATTTCCTATCTCTCCATCTTATTCTCCAGTGGAACAGAAGTGATCATGGCGATTAGATTCTGTATGTGCAGCATTTTGCTTTGAAACGATGCACATTGAGTGAGTAAATTAAAAAATGTTTTTACATTTTCTAATAGCATATATACCCTACTACAGCTCCATCTCTTCACTGCAATGCCTATCCCACACTATAGGCCCCTACCTGCCATTATAGACACAGTCCCCAACTACAGTTCCTTACCCCTACTATTAGCCCCTTCCCCCTATTAGACTCTGCCCCAACTACAGTCATTATACCACCACTGCAGCCTTACTATAACCACTATCCTTCCCACTACAAACACTATTCCCCCAATACAACCACTAGTATATATATATTAACCCCCTACTCTTGCCCAAATACCCCAACATTAGCTTCCATGTCTCTACTTTAGTTACTATCACCCCCACTGAAGCATCTTTCCCTTCTCTACAGCCACTATACCCTCATTATATTCATTATCCTCCACTGAAGCCCTTATTCCCCCACGACAGCACCAAATGCAACATAAGAAGCAGCCCCTATAAACACAACTCCAAAAAGCAACATTCCCACACATATACAACACCATAAACAGCATCCACACACATACACAAACACACCCTTTTCCAGCCCTGTCCCACTTATCATCCAACCACCCACCTAGTGACATTCAATCACATTCACATTCAAACATACCCCAAACTAGACATATAACTTTGCATTGAGGAAACTGGTCTTAGGGCAGCAAAGAGGGTAAATCCGGCCATGGAAATGACCCCATTTGTTATCCAATTTGGATAAGTTCAGAGTTGATTTTGGTCATTCCAAAGAATAGTAAATTGATTTAATATTTTTCAAAAATGTATCTGCTATTCGCTCTGAATTTTTGTTTCATAAAAATGACGTGTAGTAAATTACCCAACATGTTTTTTCTTGTCTACACTTATTAGCTTTATTTTCCCTCCCATTGTCCGTTCTTCACATTATAATTAAAGAAAATAGTTTTCTGTCAGAAACATAATTCATTAATGAAATAAATTAAAGCTGGTCCGTGAATATTAAAGTAAACCTTGCACTGCCTACTTGCATAATAGACTGTGGTAGTCATAGCAAAACCTCCACACTTGCATCACAGGCGGTGTCACCTCTCCTGTCCCAACATGATTGGAAACTTGGATAGGATTCTTTTATTGTGATGTGAGGAAGCGATGGTCAAGGGAACACTTGGGGAAAGAGGAGTACAGGATACAGAGCAGGATCTTCTCAGTTCTACAACACAGGTCTGTTGTTACCTGCAGCTCCGAGTTCATGTGTTTAGTTTTCAGTTATATTCTGTGCTTTATTATGCTTTTATATTCAGCTGTGCAATAACACCATATTAATGTTTTTCTTCTGCTGTGTGAGCAATCACTCCGTACATGAAATCCTGTGGTTTTATGCAGTTGAGATTTGATTTAAGCATAAACTTTCCTCTTTATCTTTACTACCCTACACTGCTTTTTGTTTATGTCTCTCACTGGATTTTCCTTCTATTTCACGTTCGCTTGTGCCTCCTTTCTCTCTCCCTAAATTCTTTCATGCTGGACCTCTATCACAAGGCTCCCCTCCTCACTATTTCCTGTGCACTCCTATCGCTCACTTCTTTCTCTGTGTGTCTGCCCCCACTTACTTTTTTTTTTTTCTTTGTAGAAGCACCCATTCTAGTTTCTCATTTCCTTTAACTCTTTTCTTTGCACGCACTTATTCTTTCTTTATATACAATCCCATCCTGCTTTCTTTCTATAATCCATGCTCACGTTTCACTCTTCACGGACCCATCTCTTATCTCTTCTCTTTATGTACCAAACCTCTTCTTTGTGCCTTACACCCTCAATAAATCATCTCTTTATTTTCACACTATCAAGATCACTAAAGGTGAGATTTCAAGGTGAATTCAAAGTGAATTTCAAATTTAAAGTCAAACTGGCAAAAATTCTCTATGTCAGCTATGCTTTCCATTGAGCTAATCTGGCCTTAAATTTAAAATTCACTATAAATACGCCTTTTTTTCACTTAGTAAATATCCCGGTTTTATGCTCATTTCTCTAGGTCCCCTTCCTCTCACTTGTTTCACTCTCTCTTCTTCCAGCTCAGTGTTTTGTTTGTTTCTTTCTATCTCTGCTTTTTCTGTACTTCCATTCCTCCCAACATCGCTGTCAGTCTATTCCTTTCATTCTTTTTTTTTCCAGGTGGCTCCATATTTCACTCATCTCTGTGCAGCTTGTCTTTGGATTCCTGTTTCTGTTCGCCCTCTCATTGCATTGTCATGCGCCTCCTCCCATTACACTCATTCCAATGTGATTGTGTACCCTTTATCATTTCTTTCTCCTAGAGCTACTTTTACTCTGTTCTGTTATTCTTTTCTTTGTACAGCTTAACCTCTCATTTTTTTCCCCTTCCTCTCACTCACTCCACCCTCCATGACTATACCACACTCTGACCATCCACCACCACCACTTCCTCTCACCTCTTCCACCCTCCAACACTAAATCCCACTCTGCCCATCCACCACCACCACTTCCTCTCACCCCTTCCACCCTCCACCACTAAATCCCACTCTGCCAATCCACCACCACCACTTCCTCTCACTCATTCCACCCTCCACCACTAAATCACACTCTGTCCATCCACCACCACCACTTCCTCTCACTCAGTCCACTCTCCACCACTAAATCCCACTCTGCACATCCACCACCACCACTGCCTCTCACACATTCCACCCTCCACCACTAAATCACACTCTGCCAATCCACCACCACCACTTCCTCTCCCTCATTCCACCTTCCACCACTAAATCCTGCGCTGTCCATCCACCACTTCCTCTCACTCATTCCCACCTCCACCACTAAATCCCACTCTGTCCATCCACCACCACCACTGCCTCTCACCCATTCCACTCTCCACCGCTAAATCCCACTTTGCACATCCACCACCACTTCCTCTTACTCACTCCACCTTCCAACACTAAATCCCACTCTGCCCATCCACCACCACCACCACTTCATCTTACCCATTCCACCCTCCACCACTAAATCCCACTCTGCCCATCCACCACCAACACTGCCTCTCACTCATTCCACCCTCCACCACTAAATCCCACTCTGCACATCCACCACCACCGCCTCTCACTCATTCCACCCTCCACCACTAAATCCCACTCTGCCCATCCACCACCACCACTTCCTCTCACTCATTCCCCCCTCCACCACTAAATCACACTCTCACATCCACTACCACCACTTCCTCTCACTCATTCCCCCCTCCACCACTAAATCCCACTCTGCCCATCCACCACCACCACTTCCTCTCACTCATTCCCCCCTCCACCACTAAATCACACTCTGCACATCCACTACCACCACTTCCTCTCACCCATTCCACCCTCCACCACTAAATCCCACTCTGCTCATATACCACCACCACTTCCTCTCACCCATTCCACCCTCCACCACTAAATCCCACTCTGCTCATACACCACCACCACTTCCTCTCACCCATTCCACCCTCCAGCACTAAATCCCACTCTGTCCATCCACCACCACCACTTCCTCTCACTCATTCGCCCCCTCCACCACTAAATCCCACTCTGTCCATCCACCATCACCACTTCCTCTCACTCATGCCACCCTCCAACATTAAATCCCACTCTGCCCATCCACCACCAAAACTGCCTCTCATTCAGCCCACTCAGTACTCTGTCCTCTCTATCCTTTTTATTAGACCCCTTCCTCTATTTAATTTCTACAATTCCTCCTTTCTGATTTGACACTTTTTCTCACCACCGGACACCATTAACCACTCATTTCTCTGTAGTTTTCTTTCTAACCACTTCTCGAAAATGAAACCCAACTCTCTAGCTGTCACGTATGTTTATCTGCTTTTTCTAACTTCTTTTATCTCCCTGTATGTCATTCGCCAAAGAAAGTAGTCTGATATAAACTTCTCCCCAGCCCCAGTGTTTCGTCACCTCCCCTTTGCCTCTCCTCCTCCTCTGTTTTTTCTCCTCCTTTCTCTCACTTGTGTTAAAGTTCCATTATCTCAGTAAGAGCATTACACTTCCAAGTAGGGAGCTGTCCCTCCTCCTCCCTCCCTGACTTTACTCTATTAAAGGAACTCACCATCATGTCTCATGTTTGTCCTCTCTTACTATGTGCACTTTTAATGCGTTAATAGCTTTCTCCAGTGAAGCAGTAGGACACCGGCCCGGCACACACCAGAAAGGAGGCAAAGGAGCCCTGTTTACCTGACCAGGTGAGACACCTCAGACCAAAGTAAGAGGAAACACATAACAGATGGACTGAACATCTAAAACTTCCCAACTCTGTAGAGTAACAGAGGACTGATAAAACGTGTGGGTTTTTTTTTTTTTTATCACCTCCTGGTGAATGTCCCCTGTGGTACAGCAATGTATCACACACGGGAGAAACAAGGTAACAATGTGAATTCCGACAGAGACAAATCACAAACAGCCCCGCAGTGTAGACTGTACATGTATGTGATGTACTTAATAAACATGTGATTTGCTACAGGTGTGGTTGTATGCACATCAGTATATCCACATGGACTTATTTATTCTCTATCCCATCACATGTTAACATCCAAAGGGCAGTGTCATGGCGACTTATTGGAAATCACAACTTTGAAATGGTGCCATCAGCAGTTTCATGTGATTTATCTGTACACCCAGGATTGCATGCTGTCAGTAGCCAGTATTTACTTGGATGAGAATGTTGATCGTTGCATTCTGGAGCTCTACATGTAGTAGTATATTATACCATAGAAATGAACAGAACTAGATTTACTAGAAGTGCAGAGAAAGTATCTATCTACAGGATCATGTCTAATAGAGGCACAGCAGGTACCTCTTCTGCCACTTACTATATATAGCTTCAACATCTCTGCACCCATTGATAGCCATTTGCAGCAACACTTAATGCAGCCCTGTCACCTGTCTCACAGTCTGTTGGAGAATATTTCAGATCTTTTGGCTTATATTTTGCAATTCAGTTTTTAATTCATGGGCTCCATATGTTGATGACTACAACTCCCATGATGCTGTGCCATCATTATGTCGGTAGAGGCATTATGGGAGATGGAGTCCACAACTACTCGAATGTTGCCTATCTCTGGTTTAGTAAATTTGAAATGCTATAGGAGAGAACAAATGATGTGATTAATAATTTTGCAGCAGTTATCTGTTGGAGCTCTAAGGTTAAAGCTGCAGAGCAATAGCCTTTACAAAATATTTGAAATTTATTTTTAAAAAATAACTAAATGTAAGAAACATAATTTGTATAGGTTTTAGCTCTAATGCCATTACAGAGGGTATCTGTGTCAAGTGCATATCAAACTGGTACCATCCATGAGGGAAGTCAAGGTCCCCTGTGTACAAGGGATACAGGAAACTTCACATTATCATTTTCACCTTCTTGGACATTAGTGAGTTTTAGCTGATACTGCGTCAGCAACAAAGACTGTCAATGTTTGGCTCAGTGGAAAGGGTAGCAAGTACAATTAAGTGGCCCATTCAGCAAAAGCAACCCTCCTTATCATTTGTTTTAATTACAAAAATCTTGAAAAACAGGGAAATAAAATACCTCACAAGTGTGCTTATTTTTTATTTCTCTGTTCCTCTTTTCTGTCCCAGTGTCCACTTTTGTAGGTGCCCAGTATTGGGGGCATTTTGGTGTGTCTGAATTTATACCATAGTTTCACTGTAATATCAGTCACACTTATGTGTCTTTAAATTACCATAAATGTGCATTGAACTCTGGCTGTGTAAATTTGATCTATTGCTATTCTTCTAAATTATATTTTACTTACCCAAATTGTTATTAGCAAGTCACCTAAAATTCCCTGTCCATGACCACATTCCCACTCACACCCCTAAAATTACAGTGTCACTTAAAAGGCACACTATAGGCACCAAAACAACTTTAGCTTAATATAGTGACCATGCCCCTGCAGTCTAACTGCCTATTTGTCTTCAATTTAGGACTTTAATCACTTTGTTTATGCAGCCCAGCCATGCCTCTCCTTCATGTGACCAACACATTAAAGTTAAATTAACAGAGCATGGTGATAAAACGTCTAAAGAAACAGCCAGGGAAGATATGGCTATAAAAACCAAAGTGATTTAGCTCCTAAATGGCAGAAAATTAAGCTGCAAGAAAGTAGTACCATGATCTATACACCAAAACTGTTTTGTTAAAGGACCACTATAGGCACCCAGACCACTTCAGCTCAATGAAGTGGTCTGGGTGCGAGGTCCCTCTAGTGTTAACCTTGCAGCTGAAAACATAGTGGTTTCAGAGAAACTGCTATGTTTACACTAGGCTTAATCCAGCCTCCAGTGACAGCCGCTAGAGGCGCTTCCGTGCTTCTCACTGTGAAAATCACAGTAAGAAAACGCTGGACGTACATAGGAAAGCATTGAGAAATGCTTTCCTATGGACTGTTTGAATGCACGCGCGACTCTTGACGGGCATGCGCATTCGGCGCTAACATCAGCAGGAAGAGGAGATTTCCCAGACGCTGGAGAAAGGTAAGTGTTTTAACCCCTTCAGCCCAGCGAGAGTGGGACCCTGAGGGTGGTGGGACCTAAAGACCCTATAGTGCCAGGAAAACGAGTTTGTTTTCCTGGCACTATAGTGGTCCTTTAAGCTTAAGCTATTTTGATGCATAGAGTATCCTTTTAAGGGAAGAAACACTTAACTGTATAGCATGAAGTCAATTGACTCCAGATGGTTAGAAAACTGCAAACCTTTTTCTGACACGACAAGTTCATTTTAAGCTAGAAAGCAACGATACATAATAAAATCCTACTCCACAATAATACTGCAAGTAAGAGCCAAATGAACATTTAGATTTATGAAATAATCCAGGAATTGTATATATTTATATTTTATATATAATTGTATATATTGACAAAGGACACTGACATATATACACATTTTACTCACTAAAGCTGAATTTATGAAGTTGGGGAAAACCAATCACAATCTGCTATTTTCCAGCTTAGCTATTTTGGCCTAGTTTGCAGTTTTCTTGTCTATTCTCCTCAGTTCCCAGGCTGATAAATACACCCCATTATATAGGCAGAGTTTGAATGGAAAATACAGGTGGGAACACATTCTGGGTGTGAGTTGGAATTATGACAATAATGATTATGCAATCGTTTATAACATGGCTCACTTTCATCCTCAGGACCTGTTCATCATCCTATGCGAACCATTTATCATCCCTTTGCCAGGTCTGGATAAGCAGGATTAACAAGTCTACACATCAATACTGTCTACAACCAGGAGTTGTGTGTTCACATGTAATGCATCTCTAGAAGGATCACTTTGGTGTTTTGTGATTTATCTACTCTGATCTGGTAAAATTCTTGCCTAAAATCTCAAGGATTTAAAAAATGAAAACATGTGGCTGCCTACGCCCTGAGACTGACTCAGAAGACGAAGAGGTGAGTTATGCAGGATAACAATTCATTTACATATAAGAGAAACTAAAAACAATTGCATTTGGTTGTACAACTTTGAACATCAGAGAATTAGGCAAGGACTAATTAAAGAAACACTCCAAACACACATCAGTATGTGAAGCTAGTAGCATTCGTCCAGTTTGCCCGATAGCCATTTTGGGACTAGGAAGATAACTGAGAGGAGTTTAGTCCTGGTACTCTAGCTCCATTGTGCAGACACCTGCCCACAGCTCTTGCCTTTGAAAGACTTCTCAATAAAGCTCACTGAGAAAACAAGCACAAATAATTACATGCATTTTTTTTTTCTTCAGGGTTATATGTACTTGATTGTGGGGGGTGGGGTGGGGGGGACCATTGGACACTCCATGGCCCAAATAAAAAAAATAAAATTCATGAGTAGTCTTTGAAAGGCAGGTGCTCTGAGCAATTACTTATCTTATAACGTTGGCTCCACTGAGGTTAACAGCCAGGAAATAACAGATCCAGTAGTCTCCTTGAAAGCTAGCCAACGAGTTAGCGTATAGATCCTTATGAGCATGCAGGTTGATACAGGGTATGTTGGCTACTACCAACTCAGTCGTATAGTAAATTGTTTACTCATTGGCAGATGGTCTGTAGGGGGAAATAATGTGAGGAGAAATATAAAATAAAAATGAAAATAACTCAGGGGTCTATGAGAATGCGCAGTGCATTCAATCCGGTGGCAGGGGGTGACAACCATAACGGTTGTCACGGGCCCAGCGGCCCTGGGGGGCCTGGCCGCCTGGGCCCCACGGCCCGCACGCTGATGGGGTCCTGCGGGTGGCCCATGCACTTCAGGGGCTCGGTCAGCGCTGTGGCCGTGGTATAGCGCGACCGGGCCCCTTTTAAAAAAAAAAAGTAGCCGCAGCAAGTGCTGCTGGAAGGAAGTGGTCACTTCCTCCCAGCTCACTCCACGCGGGAAGAGCGCGCCCGGCAGTGAGGGAGAGCCATGCCGACTACTCCCATCAGCCCCAGCCATCCTCCTGCAAAGAAAAGGTAAGAGACAGGAGGGTGGCTGGAAGATGAGCGTGTCTGTATGTATGTATGTATGTCTGTCTGTATGCATGCAGGTATGTATGTCTATGTCTGTCTCTATGTATGTCTATGCATTTATGTATGTCTGTATGTGTATGAATGTCTGTATGTATGTCTATGTATGTCTGTCTGTATGTATGTCTATGTATGTCTATACATGTATGTCTATGTATGTCTGTATGCATGCATGTACGTATGTATGTATGTCTGTATGTCTGTATGTCTATGTATGTCTGTATGTATGTCTATGTATCTATGTCTGTATGCATGCATGTATGTATGTCTGTCTGTATGTCTATGTATATCTGTATGTATGTCTGTATGTCTATCTATGTATGTCTGCATGTCTGTCTGTATGTATGTCTAGGTATGTCTGCATGTATGTCTATGTCTGTATGTATGTCTGTATGTATGCATGCATGTATGTATGCCTGTATGCATGTATGTGTATGTATGTATGTATGTCTATGTATGTATGTCAGTATGTATGTATATGTCTGTCAGTATGTATGTATATATGTCAATATGTCTGTCAGTATGTATGTATATATCTGTATGTCTGTATGTATGTCTGCCAGTATCAATGTATGTCTCTATGTCATTATGTATGTCTGTCTATATGTATGTATATATGTATGTCAGTATGAATGTATGTCTGCATATCATTATGAACGTATGTCTGTGTGTATGGATGTCTGTATATATGCATGTATGTCAGTCTGAATGTATGTATGTGTGTATGTCTGTATGCCATTATGAATGTAAGTGTGTATGGATGTCAGTGTCTGTATGTATGTGTCTTTATGTCCTCATGCATGTGTGTCAGTATGTATGTTAGTATGTGTCCAGTGGCGTACACATGACCCATGGGGCCCCGGTGCGAAAATTGATCCGTGGGCCCCCCCCCGGCGCGCGGGCCGGGCCGCAACACATGGCGGTGGGCACCTGGTCGCAGGGGTTACAGGGCTGTGACCCCTGCGACCGCGGTATGTACGCCAGTGCATGCAGATGCACACACACTTAAAGGACCACTCTAGGCACCCAGACCACTTCAGCTTAATGAAGTGGTCTGGGTGCCAGGTCCAGCTAGGGTTAACCCATTTTTTCATAAACATAGCAGTTTCAGAGAAACTGCTATGTTTATGAATGGGTTAAGCCTTCCCCTATTCTCTAGCGCTGTCTCATTGACAGCCGCTAGAGGCGCTTGCGTGCTTCTCACTGTGATTTTCACAGTGTCTGTATGTATGTATATATGTATGTCTGTATGTCAGTATGAATGTATGTCTGCATATCATTATGAACGTATGTCTGTGTGTATGGATGTCTGTATCCATGTATGTCAGTATGTCTGTATATATGCATGTATGTCAGTCTGAATGTATGTGTGTGTGTATGTCTGTATGCCATTATGAATGTAAGTGTGTATGGATGTCAGTGTCTGTATGTATGTGTCTTTATGTCCTCATGCATGTGTGTCTGTATGTATGTTAGTATGTGTCTGTCTGTCACTATATATGCCTGTGTGACTGTATATATGTGTATGTCTCAGAATGTGTGTGTCAGTATGTATGCCTGTATGTGTGTCTGTTAATATGTATCTATGTCCTTTTGTATCAGTGTTTGTGTCTGTTTGTGTATTCCTGTGGGCGGTATTTGGAGGCGGACCCTGTGGGCTGTATTTGAGGTGGGCCCCAGGGGGCCCAAACCCTGAGCTGAGTTAGGGGCCCCAAAATTTCTGGTGGAGGCCCTGTCCGGTGGTAAGAGATAAGGAAGGAGAAAAGCCAAAATGTAGAAGGTGTGTCGTCTCTGGGGACCTGTTACCCAAGTCCAGTGGTGTGGCAGTAAATAGGTGAGTAATTGGACTGTTACTATAAGTAGTGGGGTCATCCAGCCCTGCTGCCAATGAGCAAAGAGATGGCAAAGTAAGAAAGAAAAAGCATCAAAGTAACTGGGCGCTATATTTGGAGGCGGAGGCCCCCTGTGGGCGGTATTTGAGAAGTGGGGCCGCAGGGGGCCCAAACCTACTGAGCTGAGTTAGTAAAGGGCCCCAAAATTTCTGTAGGTGAAAGTAGGCAGGATCCAGTCTGTCTGAGTGGACTTTAGAAAAACAGAGAATATAAAGGAGAAGGAGAAATGGAGTCCAAAAATGCTGAAGGCAACAGAAAATTGCATTAGGCTTGTGTCGTACTCCTGTGGCCAAAATAGTTAAAAACCATTTAGGAATTTACCCCAATGTCCAGCTAAGGTTATAAGAGCTTCCAAATGGCAGTAAAAAGGGGATAAAGATTTTTAGTGAGTAATTAGGATTAAAACTCAGGTTGACTATAAGTACAGAAGAAAGGGACCTCATTGAGTAGGATAAAGAGCATTTATTCCCAGGTTCCCTGTCAAAGAAAGACCAATGGCCTGATGGAGCTATAAAAAATGGTGAGAAAACCATTGGTTGGAGAGTGAAGATTGGAAGAAGAATAAGCATCTTAAGTAAACTTCTGGAAACAGCATTTTCTACTTAATCATGAATCCAAAATTATAATCAGGTGGTGCAGTACTTACCACAGGCTTTTGAAGGTTGGCATAATAAAAATTTTGTTTACATGGGTAAGGCCGAGTAAAAGGAAAGATGGAAAATAATTGAAGCTTGGACTTGCAGTGGGGTACTCAGGGATCTGAGACTCTATTCTTTGCCCATACAGGAGGGAAACAAATGATTCTAGAAAAATGGTCTGGCAACGACATAGGATAAGTGCAAGATAACATCTTGAAAAAAAGGGCAGAGTGATTTGATAAGCAACCAAAATAAAAAGAAGGGGTTTATTTCTGAGTAAAGGAGGGCAAGTAATAGAGAGATGCTAGGAATGCTTGATTGTATAGGGAGAATTCAGTGCTCAGCCATTTACAGAACACTGGTGAGACCTCACTTGGAGTATTGTACACAGTACTGAGACCGTATCTTCAGAAGGATATTGATACCTTAGAGAGGGTTCAGAGAAGGGCTACTAAACTGGTTCATGGATTGCGGGATAAAACTTACCAGGAAAGGTTAAAGGATCTTAACATGTATAGCTTGGAGGAAAGACGAGACAGGGGGGATATGATAGAACATTTAAATATATAAAGGGAATCAACACAGTAAAGGAGGAGACTATATTTAAAAAGAAGAAAAACTACCACAACAAGAGGACATAGTCTTAAATTAGAGGGACAAAGGTTTAAAAATAATATCAGGAAGTATTACTTTACTGAGAGGGTAGTGGATGCATGAATAGCCTTCCAGCTGAAGTGGTAGAGGTTAACACAGTAAAGGAGTTTAAGCATGAGTGGGATAGGCTATCCTAACTATAAGATAAGATTAGGGACTAATGAAAGTATTTAGAAAATTGGGCAGACTAGATGGGCCGAATGGTTCTTATCTGCCGTCACATTCTATGTTTCTATGTTTCTATGTTTCTATATGGGCAAATGAGAGAAGGAAATGGGAGAGAACAGGAGGGAGAGAGAAAATTAAAAAACAAATAAATACATAAATATTAAAGAGAGTATTAATGAGAATAATAGAATAAATTATTAGAATCCCCTGTGTGGGAAATATTCCCAACAAGGGTGGTCAGTGTGAGTGGTACCTACCCACTCTGGGCATGGACACTAAAAATGTGACATTGAATCAAGAAATAAGGAAATTCTCCTCAGAGAAATTCCTCTTGGGTACTAATCAGTTAACAGGCTAATAAAGGTGAGTACAACATATAACGCTTAACAATGAAATGAAAGCCTAATAATAAAGGATAGGGGTAAAATTATTTAATTGGTAAACGTGATGGCTTCATTATCATTGCCTAAAATGTATTACCCATAAATGATCCTATCCATATAGTTATAAAAAATTGTCAAACATAGATAAGTACATAGGTCTCAAGGAGTAGATATCCAAATTACATATGGTCTAGTTAAATCTTTAGATAATGGTCCTCCACGTTGCCTTTTCTTGCTGTTAGTGCGAATGGGAATTGCCAGCGGTACCTGATTTGGTGTTCCTGTAAGGCAGCTGTGACGGGTCGGAGGGCTCGTCTCTTTTGTGAGGTGAGATAGATCGTTGTACAACTCCACATTTTGGCCTCCCTCTCATAATGTCATCCTTCAGTTGAAAATCTTGTATGTAGCAGATAACATCGCGTGGTGGGGCAGATGGTAGGGGTTTCAGGCGGAGGGCACGGTGTGCTCGATCTATATAGAGGCGTGCATCAGGAGGCCTACTCAGGATGAGGTTGAACAGTGGGATCAACGTTTCTTGCAAATTTTCTGGGCCTTGCAATTCGAGCAGCCCTGCGCTCTAATGTTGTGCCTAAGGCTACTGTTATCTAGATCTTCAATATGGAGCCGCAGGTCAGTGAGCTGCCTGACAAAAGCCGAAGTCCATGGTTCGTAGTGCTGGACACGCGGCTTCCGGGCCCATGGTTTCCAGCGCTTTTACCCTCCCCTCTAAGTCTGTCAGTGAGGTGCGGAGTGTAGCAATCTCCGCCTGGAGAGTGGATTTTACCTCCTCCAGGATCGTCTGTAGATCTCCCTTCTTAGGGAGTGAGGCAAAGCACGAGTACCAGTCAGGGGTCTGCCTGTCTTGTGTGTGGGTATCCGTCAGCTGGCCGTCTTCTGACATGGAGGAGCCCGTGTTGCGATTCAAGGATCCCCGGGATTTGCAGGCAACTGCGGACGGATGCAGATGGAGCCTCTTCTTGTGGTGTTGAGGGGGTCATTTGTATTCACTTTGTTCGACCGATGGGGTCTTGGTAGGTGCAGAATGAGGCTAATTAAGGCAGTAGGGCACGGAGCTATTGATTCAGGTGGCCATTCCTGTCCAGCGCCAAGTCACGCCCCCAAAAGTGCTAATTTTGACTCAAATCATTTTTGTTAAATGAAAAAAGAGGACACGCTTCACTCATAAAGCATTTCAGAAAGAGAAAGTGCTTTAGGAGTCCAGTGTATCCATTTAGACATTGAGCAGATTTACCAAAGTATGGCACACATACATTATTAATGGAGTTATTTACTTATGTGTGATTTGTTGGACATTCAGAGTAAATTTCACTTTTACGTTCAATATACTGTAGGAAAATTGGAAAAAAAGATTGTTTTCAATTTGGCTATTCCATTTGAATTCATGTTGGGGTTTATTTACCCAAATTCACTGTAATTTATATAATTTTATAGTTCAAATGGCAATGTCTAGAGTCTAGACAAAACTGGTTGTGACTTTAGCTATGTTAGAAAATATCTACAAAACTACTATTTTTGCCTACAATTTACAATTCAGATTTCAATCTGCTTCAATTCAGAGTTTAGTTAATAGGAACCTATGATTTTCTCGAATTCACATTTTAGTAAATAACCTTGTACCTTTAAATATAATAGGGCTACTCCAAGCATCAAAAATGTAAGAATGCAAGGTCATACAGGTTGCTTTGCATGATACCAGATGCATGTTTCTTGAATGATATGTAAAAAACTTTTTTTTTAACTAAATTTCCATTTAGTCAGTGCAGGGTAAAATACTCAAAGCTGCATATTACTTGTAGCTGCTGGGGGTCAAGAAGCAGGCAGGGGCTGTGAAAGCTCAGAGGGCAAAATTCCTGCCCGCATTGTTAAAAAGAGTTCAAAGTTAGCTTTACAGACAGCCTAAGTACAGCTCCTTAGGACTCCCTCGCTCCACCAAACACATGGGAGCTAACAGACTGTAAGACTAGCAGTACAGAAGAAAGGGACATATATGAGTAGGACAAAGAGCATTGATATGGAAAGGGCATGTAGAAAGGTAGCGTAGATGAGTCAAAGAAGGGACATATGGAAGGTGGCCTAGGTGGGTAGATAAAGGGGGCATGGATGAGGATAGGTCATATAGAAAATGAGAAGGAGCATGGGTGTGGAGAGGTGACATTGGAACGAGGGATTGGTTCGTATACTTCGTTCACTCACTACACAAATACACCCTTTTATTTATCGACTCTCTGACACTTCACATATACATCCTTTCATTTACAGACACACCAAAACGTCACACTGTATAAATCTCATAGATTGTAAGTTTGTTTGAGCATGGCCTTCTTCACCTCTCAAATATCAAATTTCTATAATTGTAAAGTGCTGTGGAATATGTTGGTGCTAAATAAATGTAAATAATAATAATAATTATAGGTATTAAACCAAAATGCTGTTCAAGGTCAAGGTGGCGAGTAAATTCTAGGCCTGGCTACTAGCTCAATACTGTATAATATCGGATATATTGATAGGTTCGCTGTAATACAATGAAGCATAATTAGAAGGCATTTTGTTTTCACTTATTTTTTTTGCAGAGACCACCTCGGCGATATAGCGATGTATCCGATAGTGAAATGAAAGAGACTGGAAAATCCAAGGTTGATGCAGATGGAATCTTGCTAGCAGCAGCCGTGGGTGCAAATAGAGCTCAGTCGAATCAAAGAGAGCGTGAAAAGGAACGTCTTAAACTGAGGGAGCGAGAGCGGAGGAGAGAGGCGGAAAAACAGAAAGAAAGGAATAAAAATGCAGAGAGGGAAAAGGAGAGAAAGAGACAGAGAGATAGACAAAGACAGGCTGAGAAACAAAGGCAACGACAGGCTGACAAACACAGACAGAAACAGTCTGAAAAAAAGCGGAAAAAAAAGGTTATGTAAGCAATTACAGGAAAATAAACAACCAAAGGAGTTTATTCACTGAACGAAAAAAGTGAGGAAAACTAACAAGAGAATTGCATGTTTTAGGCCGTAATAGTTGAGCGGTAAATAGTTGGAGAATCTTTTCAATGTGCAGTTTCTGTGTTCATTCTGCATTTACCAGTTTACTGAATAAACTCCAAAGGGTTAATTGAGATGTAGTGAGACAGAAAAGCTAATTTGTAAACCACTGATAAACACGTTAAACCCTATGCTTCTACATACAGCCTTTACACATTGGTGTGTGGCGTACTTGAAAATCTTTGTATACATATCATTCACATCAGTATGAAACGTTAGGAGTCCCGACACTCAGTCTATGAACAAATACATCAATAGTGGGAAAATTGCCTACGTACTTATCCATTGTTATCTAGAGCATATACAATGTTCCAAAAAGTATGCAGTCATTGGACTTTGTTCAAAAGTAAACCACACAGCAACCATCAATCTCCTTTTCAATGTATTTTTATATTTCTTTGGCATTCATGTACATGATGTTTCTTACGAACAAGTAAACACAATTTCAACGTTTTCATATAATGTGTATATTTAGACGCACTATATATGAACTCACAAACCGAGAGACAATAAAGAGATCATTACAAATTATTGGGAAAAAAGCCAAATTTCTAAAAATCCACTTTGTTTTAAACGCAACTATTTAGCCCTTACGTTTGCAATTCTGTGTTAAATGCCCTACAAGTCACAGCTTGATGATTACATTTGTTAATCTATTACTATTTGTAAAGTTTCATATACAAATGTCTAGATAATATTGTATCCAATTTTTGTTTGTGAAGGAAACTTATATTGAGCAAGCAACACATATAAAGTTTATAGCTGTGAATACTCTAGAAACATTACTTTGCAGTGATGTTGAGAGTGGATTGTGATTTGTCACATGTGTGTTTGCGTGTTCTAAAATAGAATAGAACAATGTCAACAATGTGTAGTGTTATAATTATCTATCTCTTTGTGTATATGATCATGTCATCTGACTTATAATATACTGGACGGACTGAATCACTGTTATTACAGATTGGCCAAGAAAAAGTTTCCATTTGGTTCCTAATACCAGTTGTGGTGAATTGAATATTCAATGGAGTGGTGTCACGAAAATACATTTAATAGGTTATTGCACAGTGGACAGAAGTAATCTAATATAACAATATAGGACCAATTGGGGAGTCACATTTTCACACTAATTATGTAAAAATAATGTTATAAAGCACTTTAATGTATCACAACATGTGACTCACGGTTCATTCTGTTACCACTTTGATAAATACTTGAGTGTGCAAATCCACGTTAAGGGAAATTTCACCAATATCAGCAGTTACCACCAAATAATATATCCCAAAATGCTTGCTTTATTTTCTCAACACCTTCAAGGTATTACACTGACGGTTTCAAAGTCACAGCACCATTTCCAAAATCCTTGTTGTAACACAGTTATTAGATTAGTGGAGGTAACCCTTAGCTCACACTTCATGGTAAGGAAGCTTGCTGTGGTAGTTGTGGTGCCAGGGCTTCCCCTGTAACTGTCCAACTGTTAATTATTTAAAGGAAGACTATAGTCACCAGAACCACTACAGCTTAATGTAGTGGTTCTGGTGTCTATGGAGTGTCTTATCAATGTAAACACTGCAACAGTGTAAAAAACAATGTCTACATTGTTACCTAGCAATACCTCTAGGAGCCGTTACTAGAGGCCCTTCTGTATTTCAGTCCTGTAATCTTTGCATGCACGGAGACACTGAACATTCTCCATAGAGATATATGGAATCGCACAGCATGAACACTAGCCTCCCAATGCTTCTTAGTGAATTTGTCTGTATTAAAGGACCACTATAGTGCCAGGAAAACATACTCGTTTTCCAGGCTCTATAGTGCCCTGAGGGTGCCCGACCCTCAGGATCCCCCTCCCGCTGGGCTCTGGGGAGAGGAAAGGGTTAAATCTTACCTTTTCTCCAGCGCCGGGCGGAGTGCTCTCCTCCTCCTCTCCGCCTCCGATCCTCCTCTGCGGCTGAATGCGCATGCGCGGCAGGAGCTGCGCGCGCATTCAGCCAGGCACATAGGAAAGCATTTATAATGTTTTCCTATGGACGTTGGCGTCTGAAATCACTGAAAATCACAGTGAGAAGCACACAAGCACCTCTAGCGGCTGTCAATGAGACAGCCACTAGAGGCTTTAGAGGCTGGATTAACCCATTTATAAACATAGCAGTTTCTCTGAAACTCCTATGTTTATAAAAAAAAAGGATTAATCCTAGAGGGACATTAAGCTGAAGTGGTCTGGGTGCCTAGAGTGGTCCTTTAAGCTTGTGTGTTTCAGTAAACTGTCAGTGTGTTTGTATGTAGTGAGCTTGAGTGTGTCAGAAAGCTTGTGTGTGTTTGTATGAGTGAGTTTGTGGTGAGCTTCTATGTGTGTCAGGGAGCTTGTATGTGTTTGCATGAGTGAGTTTGTCAGTAGTTAACGTGTGTGTGTGTGTGTGTATTAGTGAGCTTGTGTACATCAGTGAGCCTGTTTTTAATGAGCTTGTGTGTCAGTGAGCTTGTCTGTAGTGAGCTTGTGTGTTTGTGTGAGTGAGGTTATCTGTAGTGAGCTTATGTGTCTCAGTGAGCTTGTATGTAGGGAGCTTGTATGTATTTACCAATGAGTTTGTCTGTAGTAAGCTTGTGTGTATGCCAGAGAGCTTGTGTGTGTGTGTCAGTAAACTTGTGTGTGTCAGTGAGATTGTCTATAGTGAGCTTTTGTGTTGATCAATTTAGACAAAATCAATTGAAATAGCTCAACACAATGAATGCTTCAAGTGGTTTCACAAAATTCAACTGAAAATGCAACTATTAATGACTTCTCCTGTCTCAACATTTTTGAATCCCCTGAATAGAATCACCCACAACTGCACAAAGATGCAAAACTTGTTATCTCAAGCACACCTGATGCAACTAATCAAATGATTCATAAGTTGCACCAGGTGTGCATGATCTGGAACACTTAACATGAATAATTAACAGATGTATTTAACCAATCAGTGTTAACAGGAGTAGTCCCAGAAGATTGGAAATTAGCAAATGTTGTGCCCATTCACAAGAAAGGTAGTGTAGTGTTACTCACCTTCTCCAGGGGCCGGCCGCGGTCCTCTCTTCAAGCCGTGCGCGGTCCTGCTGCTGCACGAGCCGCGCGCGGCTCATCCGACGGCTCAACTAGCAAGGCGGGCAGTGACCGCGAGAAACGGTCACGTGTCCCGCCTGAATCTAAGAGCGCGCCGCGAGTCTCGGGCGCGCTCTTAAAGAGACAGTGGGAGCCTAAATTGTCAAAAGGCTCCCATTGGCCCCTGTCATGCCACACTCCCCATACACTTACCTTTTGGGGGTGTGGATATGACAGGAGCCAATCACATTAGTTTTGAAGCTATTTAAACTTACCTCTCCCTTTACTCCCTGCCCTATCGTGGTTTCTGTATCAGTTCCCTTTAGCGCTTGTTGTGTTCAGTTGTGTTTCTCTGTATTGACCATGGCTTTGTTTCTGACTACGTTTTCTCTTTATCCTTCTGTTCTGGTTGTCGTCTTGTTGTTTACTGTGTACCAGACCCCGGCTTGTCCTAGTTTACGCTGTCTCTCTGTGCCCTTGATTTCGGATTGTTCCTGACTCTGTCTCCTCTCATATACGTCGAGTCCGGCCATTCTAAGGTCCGGTAGACGTATCTCTCCTCTGTGTTGTCTTTTGTTTAGCTGAATCCTGCGTGTTGGGGTATATTCTCGTTACATTACGATAGGGCCATGGACCCCGCAGATTTGGCTCAGCAAATGGCTTCTCACGAGGCAAGGTTTGTAGAGCAGGATCACCGTATGGATCAGATAGCACAGGCTCTCCAGACGCTCTTGTCTAGAACCATTCCTGCAACCGCACCTAACCCTCCTACACCTCATCCTCCCGAAGTATCCAATTCAACCAATGCTTCGCCCCATTTAACACCTCCTCCTAGGTATGGAGGGGAAGCCAAGACATGCAGAGGTTTTATTAATCAAATAGAATTCCACCTTGAGATGTATCCTCATTCCTTTCCCACTGATAGGTCTAAAGTGGGGTTTTTGATGCATCAACTTACTGACAAAGCACTAGAGTGGGCAAATCCTATTTGGGAGGCCAATGGACCTATGGTTCATGATTTCAATAGTTTTCTTGCGGCTTTTCGTAGAACTTTTGACACAACAAAGAGGTCAAAGAATGCCGCAAGAGCATTAATGAGGATTAAACAGGGGTCTAGGTCTGTGGCGGATTATGCTATTCAGTTTCGTACCCTTGCTTCACAGGTAGATTGGACCAATAATGGGTTAACTACTGCGTTCATGGAAGGTTTATCTGACACTATATTAGATGAGGTAGCGGCAAGGGAGCTTCCTATTCCATTAGAGGATCTTATTGACTACCTCATTGATATAGATAATAGAATTCGCGACAGGCTCTATACCAAAAACAAGAATAGACGTCTGGTCACATCTATTAACCCCAGAGTTGATAAACCTGAGAGTGTTAAAGTACCCGAGGAGGAACCCATGCAATTAGGGGTTGCCAAACTCTCGGATACTGAAAAACTACTTAGAAGAAGGAATGGACTCTGCCTATACTGTGGTAGGCGAGACCATATGGTAAGGGAATGTCCTTTGCGTCCGGAAAACTCTCGCACCTAAGACCTTATAGGGGACTGGCCTTGGGTGTGATCTCTAAGTCTCCTAAATTGCCTCCTAATCGTTTGCTTCTCCCTGTTTCCCTTCATACGGGGGTGAGTTGTATAGCAGAATGCATATTAGCCTTGGTTGATTCTGGGGCTGCTGAGAACTTTATTGACTCTGAGTTTGTTACGAAAAATAACATTCCCGTCAGAGAAAGGGAGATACCCTTGGCCATTGAGGCCATAGATGGTAGACCTTTAAAAACTCCAGTCGTTACCCATGAAACTGTACCATTATTCATGTACACAGGGGTTTTACACTTTGAGACCATTCGGTTTCAGGTTATCACCTCTCCCTCTTCTCATATCGTGTTAGGGTACCCATGGTTGTGTTCTCACAATCCCATTTTTGACTGGGAATTGGGACAATTAAAATCATGGGGTAAAACCTGCCACGACTCTTGTATGATTAAAGTCACCCCTTTAAATACCATTAATGTTCCTACCACTCCTCCTTTGTCTACTGTTATACCTCCTCAATACTTGTTTCTCAAGACTGTATTCGATAAAAGGGAAGCTGATAAATTACCGCCTCACAGATCCTATGATTGTGCTATCGATTTATTGCCTGGCACTATACCTCCTAAGGGCAGGGTGTACCCCTTATCTATTCAAGAGAACCGTATCATGGAGGAGTATGTTAAAGAATCACTAGAAAAGGGGTTCATTAGGAGATCCTCTTCCCCGGCTGGAGCAGGGTTTTTCTTCGTATCTAAGAAAGAGGGTGATTTAAGACCGTGCATCGATTATAGAGGTCTAAACAAAATCACTATCAAAAATGCATACCCTATACCTTTAATTACAGAGTTATTTGACAGGCTGAAACATGCTACTGTGTTCACCAAATTGGACCTTAGAGGTGCATACAATTTAATACGCATAAAGGAAGGTCACGAATGGAAGACTGCATTCAACACTAGATCCGGTCATTACGAATATACTGTTATGCCATTTGGTCTTTGCAATGCCCCAGCAGTATTTCAGGAATTTATTAATGACGTCCTAAGAGATTTTATTCACACATTTGTAATTGTATATTTGGACGACATATTGATATATTCTACAGATTTACACACTCATCACAGGCATGTCACAACGGTATTGAAGACCCTTCTTAATAATGGTCTTTACTGTAAACTAGAAAAATGTTTATTTGACCAATCCGAAGTCCAGTTCTTGGGGTATTTGATTTCCGCCAAAGGGTTTCGTATGGATCCCCAGAAGCTTTCAGCGGTTATAGAGTGGCCTCTACCACAGGGTTTGAAAGCAATTCAACGTTTTCTTGGTTTCTCTAACTATTATAGACGTTTTATTAAGGGTTTTTCTTCTATTGTAGCACCTATTACCCGTATGACAAAAAAGGGTGGTAATACTCGTGTCTGGTCTCCCGAGGCACTTCAGGCTTTCGACTTTCTTAAAACTACATTCGCCTCGGCACCTATTTTACAGCACCCTATCCCCTCACTGCCTTATATTCTTGAAGTTGATGCTTCTGAAATCGGGGTAGGTGCTGTTTTGTCCCAAAGAGAATTGCCTGAAAAGCCATTGCATCCTTGTGGCTTCTTTTCTAGACAAATGTCCAAAGCTGAAAGGAATTATGATGTGGGTAATCGTGAACTCCTTGCTATTATCTTAGCCCTTAAAGAATGGAGACATCTGTTAGAAGGAACTAAGGATCCTATTCTAATTTTTACTGATCACAAGAATCTATCCTACCTTGGTGAAGCTAAAAGATTATCTTCTAGACAGGCCAGATGGTCACTATTTTTGTCCCGTTTCAATTATATTATCACCTATAGGCCAGGTGATCGCAACATTAAAGCAGATGCTCTGTCCAGACAGTTCGAAACTACTGACAAACAGGAGGTTGATGTTACTCCTGTCATTCCCCCAGACAGGATAATAGCCACTACTATGTTGTCTATTTCTTCATCCCTCTTGCAGACCATACAGGCAAAACAAAGTATGGCACCTAGCGAGAGGCCTATTGATAAATTGTTTGTTGATGTTCCCGAGAGACGGGAGATTCTGTCATTATATCATGATACTAAGACTGCTGGACATCCTGGTATTACCAAAACGATGTCAGCCGTTTCTCGATATTTTTGGTGGGGTTCCTTACGTAAGGATGTCACTGACTATATAAGTGCTTGTACTACTTGTGCATGTATGAAAACGTCTCGTAGAGTTCCTTGTGGGCTTCTGCATCCCTTACCAGTTCCCGAGAGACCTTGGTCTAACCTATCCATGGATTTTATTGTTGAATTACCCCCTTCGAATGGTAACACAGTCATCCTGATGATAGTAGATCGGTTTTCCAAGATGGCTCACTTTGTGTCTCTTAGCAAGTTGCCCACATCCAAGGAACTGGCTCTTATCTTCGCTAGAGAAGTATTTCGGTTACATGGTATCCCTGTAT